TGTGATAATCTAGCAAAGTGGTTAGGTTGTCAACTCCCAAGTAGTATATTGGGTATTCAAATTCTATCAATATTAAAAATTTGAATAATCATCTATGTAATATTTGTATTATGATAACTGTTACTAATGATTAGATTAGGATATCTGTAATGATAGTTACATCAACATAACTAGCGGGTTATAGAGTATCTATGTAACTAGTTATACAGAGAAATGCAAACTAACAAATTGGGCAGTGCAAATATTAGATAAGTTTTTATAGTTGTATAAATTTATTAAAATTAGATAACAAGAAGTTCATTTGAAAAGATCTAAGTAGAGAGATAGTCAGTTCTTTAACAACTTTACTATAAAGATTAACATAAGAAAACAGATACCAAGGTTATAGTACTCAGTTATAGAAGCCAGATAAACAAGAATCTTCAGTTTGGAAGTTTTAGAAATACTACCAACTAAGCCACAAAAACAAACTAAAGAAAAAGAATATTAGGTTAATTTAATATACTAATAAACTAGTTATAGTACTACATAGACTATCTAAATTGAAAGTCTAGTAAAAAAGTAAGTAAAAAAACAGAAGTATACTAAAATACTAGAATTATGCTGTGAAGTAGATGCTGAAATCTGTGTGAACTCTACAAAAATATAGTAGTTAAATGATATAACTTTGATCACAAGTATTGTTCTATTATAGTGATATATAGATTAACTGTAAAAATAAATATAGAAGGCTCTGAATAATTTATCTTAAAAATAAAATAGTTCTAAGATTAAAATGATAATCTAGGCATTTAGGTATAATTAGTAAAATTAATACAAATTGCAGGTTCAGAAGGTTTAAAATAGAACATCTAAGCAGATGTGTTAGATATAACAATTAGTAAGGAACCTTTAAGTAAACTTCTTAAATAAGTAATATAGAAAAGTTATATATATAGCCAATTGTATACTTTCTTATAGTAGTTTATAAAATTATATTACCAAAAAAGTTATTAATAAAAAGTTAAAAGACTAAAGAAGTCACCTTAATATTATAAAAAAAATTAGTAATATAGAATTAAATGAATTTTATATCTATTAAAAAAAAATAATAATTAAAAAAAATATTATATCTATTAATAAAAAAATTTGATAAAAAGAAATTATTAAATTATAGAAAATAATAATAAATAACAATATATTAATTTTATTTAATATTTATATAAGTACATGCAACTTAAAAATTTATTAATAATTTGTCAATATGTACTAATATGCATAATAGCTACAAAGGCAATCATAAAAAGAATATATAACTAGAAACTTATACAACTTTAGTCATTATCTATTTTAAATAGTCTGCTTGAAAGTTCTATACTAGTTGTCATATTTAGAACCTATCTGTGAGTTCTCTATTTAAATATTCTAGTTTCTATATTTATTTTTACTTTACCAATTGCAAATTAAATGCAAATATGTCATAGTTACTAAGTTATATTTAGTTTTATATTAAGTCTACTAAAACCTTCTGTATCTTATACTTACAGTTGATCTGGTACTGTTTTGAACTAGACCATCATTTGCAATTAGAACTAATTATTAAACTATTATATCTTTGTAAAATTTACTAGAATTCTGATATCTTTCTTTGCTAATATTTTCTTCTTAATTTAAACCTACAAGTCTTTCTAAACTACCTATTTAGATAGTTCAGTATAGTATTTTAAAATTCTTTTTTTCTAACATTCCTGATAATCTAATTGGTATGTGCTCTTCTACACATATTGTTATTTAATTCATTCTAGCTATTTTTTTTAAAACATTCAATAATTTGATAGTACTGTTGAAAGTCTATATTACCTCTTTATTAGGATTTTCAGATAGGTTTTCATACTTTAGTTTCTTAATGTTATGTGTCTGATGATCTTATTATGAGTTTGTACTAAAGTCTTATATAACATCAGTTATTAACATTTTTCTATATATATGTAATATTACACTTTGTATAAATGTTCTGAGCTCCTATTCAAAATAATGTTTCTAAGATTACAAATTATCTCTTCTGTTCAACTGGTTGACAAAACACAGTTATTATAATACAAGTATAATTTTTAAATTTTGTTTTCATAGAATTTTAACACTAGAACTGCTACTTATATAGAAATTAACAACCTGTTCACTTTACTAGGTCATATTCCAAAAACAATATATTATAATTATTTATTTTTATAAATAATCTTAAATTTTTGTTTTGTTATAAATATAAAAATCTTATTTTTTTATATATTTATTTGTTGTTATGAATGATATTGCAGAACATTACAAATTCAACTTGTCCAATACATCAAAAACATCATGAAGTTGTTCATCAAGTAACAATATTAAATGTTAAAAAAAACTGTAAGTTTACTATAAATACAATGAAATCAAACTATAAAACCAAAAAAATTCAATTATATGAGCCAGATAACTTTGTAAAAATTTATATTCTAGATACTGACAAATTTAATATGAATAGAAGATCATTATCATCTAAAATTCTTTAAAAAAATCAAATCAAAATTGCTTGCAAATTTGTAATAATTCATTAGTAGTATTCTGCAAATGAACTTGAATCACTGAACACTTTTAACTATTCTGATCTTAATATTATTCTTTTAAATAATATACTTTCAATAAGACAGGCAGACGCCAAGCAAAATATTACACAACCAATTCACAATATTTAAGAACATCGAATTATGTTTAATTAAAATCTATTGGTCAACAGTATTCGCGGGATTAATGAAGTTTATACTGTTTTGTGATTGGCTTGTTTAATTTCGAAGGACAATTAATCGCGGGAGATGACGTTAACCAACAATTCAGCCTTAATAATTGATCGTCAACTATATTTTAACTTGATAATTAACATATTTCTACAATGCACTATGTACCCTCTTTTCACGTACTATCTGTTCTAAATTCTTTTATGGATCTAAGTATATATGCATTTAGACAATATAGAACTGTAAAATCTTTTATTATCTCACCGCTAATATTTAAAAAAAAAATCTTTTATTATCTTGACTATATATGTATATCCAGTGTAACGTATTAGAATTCAACATTGTATAAATTTATAGAGGTAGGATCTATTCTAAACTTCCCACGCCATACGTACATTTACGTACGTATCCGTGGCATATGCCTAACGATAATCTCTATGATGATAGATTAAGGTTTTTGGATTTCCTGCATTGTACATAACAATAAAGATGTGTACATGTGCGAACTGGTTTGTATCAACCTTTTCCTGATGTAGGTTAGATTGTGTAATCCTTTTCGATGAGAAATTTCCACCTGTCTTTATATAAATGATATCAATTTTTTTTGAAAATGATAGTATAACTAAAATTCCTTTGCAGTTAGATACAAAATCTTTTAAGTGACGACGAAGAGCTTCATTTTAGCTTTCTATTAATTTACTACCCAAATCCACGAAAATGTTTCGAAAATGTTTCTGGTTTTTTTTTTATCTTATTTGTCAGATTTTTTTAGCAAGATGAAAGATCTAAAAATCATCTGAATGTGCTAAGAATAGATTCGTAATACTGTAAATCTGTTTTTAGAATTGCATTTCTAAATTGAAACTAGAATTCTGCATGTACCCTATTAAACATAGTACCGGGCACGGGCATGGGACGATTTCGAACCCTAATTAACACTAATTAAAACTGTTTTCAAAACATGATTATATTATCCTTATTAATAAATATGTCGATAATGCTAGGTTTTAAAAAATGTGAACGAAATGAGCCAAAAGCCAAAACCGATCAACTTTCATAAAATTTATATGTAATATATAGCTAAGAAAATATAACGATATCAAAATGATAAATATTGTTTAGTCCAAAGATGTTTATACAACCTTTGCTTTAATGTAGAAAAGAATAATATTTACCCTAACTGTCGAAAGGGGTACATTTATAAAGGTAAATTTTATAAGTCTTTACTGTATAATGATACTAATGATTACAGTACATCAATATATACGAATTTATACACTCTGTATTACTCAATTAAAAGGGATAAATTTTAAAAAAATCAATAGGTGGTATAACACCACATTATTATTGTACTACCTGCCATATCTAATTATTAGTTTAAATTGGGCTGCGATGGCGCCCACATGTGCAATTTTAATTCTTGATATATTATATGATATTTACTTTTTTTTAAAAAAAATTTTGTATTATGTACCACACCATATTGATACGTATACGAGATTGTTAACATTAAAATTTATCAGGTCAGGTTTTGTTTATCGTTATTGTACGTAAAAAAATTTAAAGTTACATATTTAGTTATATGATTGTGTAAAATGGCGTGCATGTTAAGATGTGGCTATACAGATCCGTATGTGAAAGCCTCTGATACGTATAAATCTGATTTATGATAAGCCTCAGATTTTATAATAAAATTAAAGTCAGGCGTTTGTCTTGTCACAAGTGAATGAAAATAACCTTTAACTCCGTATCGTATCTTTGACAAGTTCAGTACGTATGTACATCAAACTGAATTTTTTAAGAGATTTATAAATTTTTTTTTTATCTGCTTACGTTAAATTATTTTGACGATCTTTAGGTTGGTACATCGTTGTACGTACAGTACATACTTTTTTTTTTGTCAAACTCTTAATAATATTTATTAACAAAAAGCGGTATGCATAATAACATTTAAATATCTTCGGTCTTGTGTGTAACATTAGGTACGTGTACTAACAAATTATAAAGTCTCTTATTTCTCTCCACACTTGAAACTTTTTTTTTTTAGGAAAAAAAAATTAATTTTCAAGTATAACTAAGCTATAGACGTATCCAAATTCAACATTAGGCTTCTTTTTAGTTATTTTATAATAACCAAACGTTTTTAAGGCGATAAAACAGGTAACAATTTTTGGTAAATCTAACAGATAAAATTATTTCTTGATTAAATTTATTACAGTATAATTTCTAATGATATTTTGTTAAAAAAAGATTATGGAAGATACAAAATTTCTTCTTTCAGTTGATGGAGGTGGATTCCGAGGGTTAATTCCGGCAAAAATAGTCGCTGAAATCGAAAGAAGAGTTGCTGAAAAATTAAAAAATGAAAATCTTAATAGTGATTTAAAATGTGCCGACTTATTTGATATTGTTGCTGGAACTTCAACAGGTTCTATACTTGCTTTATCATTTGCAAGACCAAATGAGAATGATAATCGTCCAAAATATGATGGTAAATTCATGGTGGATTTTTTCGTAAAACATAAAGATGAAGTCTTTCCAAGTTTTACTCCTTTAACATTTGTCGATAATTTATTACATCATACTGCTGGTATATTAAATACTTTTCGTGTTTCAAGTATGGCTAGTGGTGTGGTTAATCTTGTCAGAAAAGAAACTCGTGAAATTGAGACGACACTAGAAAATTTAACAAATACTTCAAATAATGATGCTGCAATTAAAACTGAAAAAAAAACTTTCATAGAATGGGTTGTCAGTATTGTAAGTCCTACAACAACAAAAAATCCTGAAAAAGAAAAATCAATTTCAAAAGATGATACTAAGAATAAATCCGTCGATACTTCAAAAACTATTTCCGTTGGACCTTCAAAAAGTAAATCTGATGATAATACTTCAATTGATAAATCTGATGTCGAAGTTGACGTAACTAAAACTAAAGCTGAACACGATGAAAGTTTAGTTGAACAGCTAAGATTTTTAGATGATTATATAAAATCTTTTGATCCTTTGAAACCAAGATATGATCCAGAAAACTTTGAAAATTTATTAACTGAATATCTTGGCGATACTAAACTCAAGAATACTGCAAACAATGTGGATGTATTCATTACTGCTTTTAATATTTCAACTTATGAACGGACTTTCTTTACAAATCTAAATAATAAGGATGATGATGTTTTGATGAAAGATGTTGTACGTGCAAGTGCTGCTGCTCCTACTTACTTTCCCGCAAAAGAAATTGCTAGTAAATTTTTTGTAGATGGTGGTGTTTTTATGAATAATCCAACTGCTAGAGCATATCTCGAAGCAAGAAGAAAATATCCAAAATCGAAATTTGTGGTTCTTTCCCTTGGTACTGGTGTCCACACTCAACCTTTAGAGGATCATAAAGATTCCGGCATTATTCAATGGGTCTATCCCTTAATTAATCTTTTAATGAATAATGAACTCGTAAACCATGATGATACTATGAGTATTTTGGCTGAATTTGATGGAGCAGAATATTATAGAATTCAACCGGTATTAAAAGAAGACATCTCTTTATCTGATACCAAGGAAGAAGCTGTTGAAAAACTTCTTTTATTAAGTGATGAAATTATAAATAATTATAGTTCAAAGTTGGATAAAGTAGTTGATTTGCTCGTTGATAAAGTTAAAAAAAAGAATAAGACTACTGCTTAATTTCTCTTGTTAACATCATAATATATATATATATATCATATTTTTTAGATAAATGTAGTTAATATTCTCACATTTATTGTATATTAATATTTTATGGGATCCTGTATCATTAGGGTGAAAATTTTCATTGTTATTAATACATATCTATAAATAAATAGGTTATTTTATTGTCTATATGTTTTTAAAAAAATTATAAACACTAAGTCCGTATTAATCCATTCATGAATGATATGGAATATAGAGTCCTGCATTGGGTCCCGTGGCCTGGCCCGGTTCGCGGACTGGATTAGGCCTAATATTTATTTCTAATTTAAAAATAAATTATTTTATATACAATTGATAATAAATATATATTATTGCATAGTAAAACTAAAATTTATTAAATAGGGATTTGTTTTTATAGTTTAGCAGCGTTAAGTTTCTAATTGAAAAATTAATAATTTGAATCAGGTCAGGCTGAAAATAAAATCATTTTATAATAAAAAATAGGATTTATAATCAGATGCAAAAATCTTGTAAAAAGTGCAAGTATATAATTAAAATAATATTTCAAAAATAAAATACCAGGAACGAATGTAATGAGTATGGATTATATGATGTTTCATCACGCATATAGATCAACGGATACGTATACACATGCATTCGGATCAGGGCACAAAATTTCCGAATGCCGGAAGGTGTTTTTTCTCCGGCGGTGTTTATTTTAACCGGAACTTAGAAAACTCAGTCGGATGTAGCAGTTTTTTAATAAAGATATTGTAATATTTATTGATATTTATATACATACGTATATATGATATCATATTCGGAAAATTTCCGACTGATGAAAAGTCAAGGCGGTAATTGTCATGACGAAACGGAAATCTCCGAAATTTTACAATAGATTTTGTGCTCTGATTCGGATATGTAATTACAGAGTGTAATTCGAAAAGTGTTACACACACAAGATATATTCACATTTGGAAGCATCTGGCTATCAGATATTAGACTTTATTATGTGATTTTTTATTAAGAATATGCAGCATATATCAGTGTAATTGATATACAAAACTGAGATGAGATAAGCTCCTGGAAATAACAACTGTAATTGTACTAGATATCACCAGATCAGCTGAATTCATGCTGTGTAGCATTAGCTGATGGTCTCTCACACTACATAAAGCAGGTTGACTCTGACAAGAAGTTTTAAAGATACAACAAAATGGCAGGATTCAACATGGTTTCCAAGTTCCTACTTCTATTTCTATAATTACTTGTCTTTGTGGCAAATACCATACTAAATTCATCTTATCTACCAATACTACTCATACTTAAGTTATCAAATTTGTTATTGTCTACATTAACAATAATTTTAAAAAACTTAACAAAACAAGTCAAGAACTCATAATTAATATCTCTTCCTCTAGTGACAGTATTCTTCCATTTCCTACATCTGATATATACTATCATACTTGTCTTAAATGTTCTGTTCCAATTGGTTGTACCAAGAGAAATGAATATCATTTTCCTACTAAAAAATATGTTACCAAAAATAATGAAATCTACCATCCTACCTGCATAATTGCTTCATCTTAACATGAAGCTAGCTCATTTTAAACTAAGAAAAACCTCATTCAAATCTTCAGAATATCTTAAATGAATCTTTCCAAACTATAAATCTTCTCACTATACCTTTATATCAAAATTCAATTTCTTCTGACCTTATTGATTCTTTCTTTATTACAACTATTTATATTAATTTTGCTTCAAATCAATTTCTTAATACTAATATTTCTAACAATACTAATTTAAATTTTAACAATTCTAATAATTCCAATCAATCTTATAAAACTGTTAATAAATCTTCTTTTCAAATTTATTCCAGTGTCCTTAAACTAAAATCTAATCTCATATACAACTAGATTGCAAATATTCCTATTACTAAAAAAATAAACCTAATAAAAAATTACAAATCTCTTTATCTCTCCAACTTTTCATTTTTCTTAAAAAATTTCTTGAAATTAAGCCAGTCACTGCTATCCAACTAGAAATCAAAGTTTCATTCTATTATATTATCTGTATTATAATTAGACAACAATCTAAATTCTTAACTAATCTTATATATAACTGCAATCCTAATATTGATAAAAATGCTAATATCCTTTTGATCTTCTTGAATCTATTTTAAAAAATCTCATCTTTAAATTTACAACTATTCTCTTTACTAAACTTAATTATCTTAAAATTTTTATTTTATTAGCTACTATTTCTCTAAATATAGTCTATAATCATCTTCAACTTTGTTTTAAACTTGTATGCCTATATCTTTTTTTATCTAATAACTACTAATCAATTAATTACCAAAAATTTGTTAAAGATCTACAGCTCAGACCTATAAGATTTAAAATCAAATATTTTATTTAAAATACTGATCTTAAATAAAAATATCTTACAATTTAATTAGATATCAGATTTAATATTAAACTCTTCTTCAATATTTCTAAAACTCTCTTCCTTGAATGATTTTGTATTTTTTTACTAAAAAACTCTCTTGATCATTTTAATTCCTAATTTGAAATCTATTATTCTTCTTATAGTAAACAATTTTCTTCTAATATTAATAAAGAAAAAGTTTGTATCTCTCTTAGAATTCAATTTTGTTAATATTTCATTCTCCAACTTTCCAAATATCTTTTTAAAACTTATATCTCTAAAAAATCTAATTCACTTTATGAATGATGTGAAGAAACATTTCTGTTGCTAACTTCTATTGTCTTATTTGCAACAACAAAAAATATCAATATCTCAATAATAAAAAATTCCATGATAATACCAAATTTTTTAATAATATCTTAACCAAATTATACTCATTATTCTTATCTTAGAATAATGAAACATAAATTAATATAACTCTTAATATCATATTATTTCATAAAAATAAAGAACATGCTGTTTTATTTGATCAATTTATTTTTATTAAAACTTAAAACAAACTAGTTAATCAAGCTAAAAACTTTGTAAACAAAATAAATCTAAAACTAATCCCAAACATCATAATTATTATTTTTATTACTATCTATCATTCTATTATCAAACTGTTACTAAAAATCATAATATATAATCTTTATTCAAAGAAGAGGTTATAAATCTCTTAACAAAAAACATTAATAATACTAAATTTCTTGTTCAAATTATTACATATTTTGATGTCATAAAAAACTAAAAACCAACATATTTATAATTTATTAAATATTTTAATGATACTACTTATTCAGTAACTGAAAAATTTTTATCAAAAAAATTTAATCTTGACTTCCAACTAGTCTCTATCCTTGACTCTCTTTTTTTAAAGTCTCCTTTTTAAGTTTCTTGTCTTCTACAACTAACATTGAAACAGCTACTATCTTATTAAAAAATACAATCATTGTAATTAATAAGAAGAATGAAATAAGTAGACAAGTAGAGAAATCTATTTATATAAAAGGCCAGGATAATGATGATCAGACTCAATATACAGAGCAGACTATGGTACCTTGTACAGATGTAAAGTTTAAACATACAGTAATCAACTCTGTAGAAGACAATTTTGAAAGATCATTTATAATATCTTTAATCACTTATAATCTTTATACATATTTTAGCAAATTCCTTCTTTATTACAATTTACCACTTCTCCCTTATGGTCAAACTATTTAAACTTTAATTCAATATATTGATAAATATAATAACAACAAAACAGTATCTTATTAATTATAAAAACTCTTTCTGCAAATCCATTGTACAAAAATTAATAGAAAAATCATCCATCTAAAAATACTTATAACATTTTATTTTACTAAGACAATCTATCCTAGTGTCTTAAGTAAACTTGTTCAACTCAATGATTTATATATATTTTGAAAATATTATAGATCTAGCTCTTAAACTCATAAAGAAAACTGTACTGATGGTCTTTGGCCTTCAATTTTAAAAAATTAACTCTTTTGCAGTTTCTATTACAATAACTTGTCTTATATCATTAATTAAAGTTATAGTACATATATGTTTTGTCAATTAAGCTTTAAAAGAATTTTGACTCAATATTGACTGAACTACAGCTAAATTCATTTTTTACTTTCCTGTTAAACTCTTTTTCTACCTTTTGTCTTTACCTTATTAACTTTTTCTTTTACATGGTTTTTGTGTAATTATACTATCATTTTCCAATATATACTTTATTAATTTATACCAAAATTTTGTAACCCATCTATTAATAGAAATTCATTGAACACAATCAGTTATTTCTATATTTGGTTCTTATTAATTGTATATAGTAATTTATGTTGCAAACTCTATTTATATCAGTACCTAAGCCATATTTGTGATCCTAATCATTTTAGTCACACATTAGTGTGACTTTTGTGATATCTTAACTATATAACTCTTATTCCTATCTCTTATCCTTGTAAAATTAACTATCCAACTACTAGAAACCTCTCTAAGTTTTTAATACAATATTTATTTAACTTATAACAAATCTAAAAATACTTACATTAAGTAGCCAAGAGCCTGATACTGCAAATCTTGATTTCTTTTACCAAAACTTCTCTAACAGTTTTTAAATCACCCTTTATGAAGAAGAAAATAACAATAATACTTGCATATTCCTCCTAAAGTCAAACTAACCACTTGTCTAATTAAAAATCTTAGAAGCAATAAAATTACTCATTTTTTTCAAGCTTCTATTTCTACTTCTGTGATTACTTATCTCTGTGGCAAATATTATATCAAATTTATTTCAACTACTAACACTAATCATATTTAAGTTACCAAATTTATTACAGTTCATGTTAATAGTAATGCAAAAAAGAATTTTAACAAACTAGCTCAACAACTCCTAACTAATCTCTCTTTCTTAACTGACAATATTTCTCTATCTTCTATATCTGATATACATTATCATACTTGTCCAAAATACTCTTTATCAATTAGTTGTACCAAGAGAAATAATCATTATTACTCTAATGAAAAATATGTCACTA